ACGTCCATGCGCTGGGGTCCACCAGAACGTCGCCAGCCCTGGAGTTCCGATTGTCGGACCCTCGGCGGGCGCGTAACAAAGAGGAAAAGTCTTGTTTTTCCCAGGCCACCCTCTGATCGACTTGAGGAGTTACAAAGGGGGGCATGAATTTGTGTTCTGAGCCCCTCAGGTGATTGTTTCGGCTCAGTTCTGGATCGAACGTTTCGGGCATCTTTGTGTGTCTTGGCACATGTAATGGTGAAATTTGTCGGATAACTTGGGCGAGAGGGGGCGCAGGGAGAGACTGTTTGGGTGACGATTTGTTTTTGTTTTGGGAGTAAAAGCGTGTTTACTCTGGAATAAGAATTCTCGGGTCTGCAAATTCCGATTTGGGATTTCTACATATCCTGATTAGATTGGCTGCTCTTGGCACGTTCCTTCCACTTTCCTTTTTTGCTGAGAAAGCCTTACAACAACAGCGTCTGCTTGCAGACACTGTTAAAAAAGAAAAATTACCAAAATCCAACTCGTGTGCTGCAGGTGACAGCCGCTGCACACCTAATAGTTGCTGAGAGGATTCTACGTTTTAAGTTTAGGCCATGGCAGTAATTTTACTTTGAAAAGTTATCTGTTTCCTTTCTAGGATATTTTATTGTGGAGTTTCTCGGTACAAGTATGAAAAACGTAGGTTTGATTTAAAGCTACATATTTAGACACAGCTAGAAATTTATCTATCTAGAAATGCCACATACTCTCCCCCCTTAGTGATTATTTTATAATTTTAAAGCAATATTGGCAAAATTACATGTGGTAGAGCAACAAGATGAAAAACAAGTAAGATTCAGGGTTAGAGTGTACTTGGGAAACTTTTCTAAGAGAATGTGGAGGGCACAAATTAAAATGTACTCACAAAATAGCCCCAACTATCTTTTGAAAACTTATTATAAAGCAGAATTGTAGCACGTATGTCTTTTTAATACACACCTGAAAGGTTTTATAGAGAAACCTCCTATTGTTTTTCTTCAAAAGTTGTTATTTATGAATGATCTGTTTAATAGGAGACTGAAAGAGCACCTTAAATTTCTATTTCCCAATTTAACTATTCAAATACCCATAAGTTTATAACATCATTTGGTATCATGGTCCATTTGAACCACAAGTTTGGCGATTCAAACTCACCAGATGCTCCTTGGAAAGCCTATACAGGGTTGCTATGAGTCAGACCAACTCGAGGACTCCTAACAACACTGTATATAAAAGCAAGATCAAGTAAATAATTGAGAATGTTGTAAATAGTGTATTAAGCAAAACATTTTAACATAGTGGGTTTTATACACATAAGCAAAAATCAAGCTGTTCTTATTGATAGTCTTAACTTTGCCAGTGATGTAACAAAGACCAAAATAAAAATAATAGTCAACATTGGCTCTTAGATGTGAAGATGGCAAAACATTTAGAATCTCAGGGACAATTTAAAGTTTTATATTTTGAGTTTGCTTAATCAGAATTCAAGTTAATAATTAAGCTTTATAGTGTAGTATCTCATGCCTTCTAGGCTTGATTCTATCTTATTGTGAAGAGACTACCATGGCTGAACTTCCTGTAATGCAAATATTTACCTTCCCTCTGCACACACACATATATTTATTTCTTCATCTCTACTTCATCTGTCTCCTTTCCAATGACCATAATTTGTATATAAAAACTGAAATCTACCATATCATCTCATGAATGTGTATTTAGTATTTAGGATAAGTAGATATAGATCATTTTTGTAAATTTAAACAAACATTGTTGGCTTATCAGGCAATTTTCTAATTAAAAGCTTAATTATTTAAGGTTGTCATTTATTGATTTTTCTCCCCGATTTTGGTTTATCAATCTAGTTAGTTTGTATCCCGGAAACAGCAAATAGTGTTAAAAAACGTTTTATATTATTTTCCATCTCCCTCCTCAGTATGGTTCTGCTACTCAGTAAGTGCTTTTGTGGATTTCTTCTTCCTTCCTATGACCTTCCTCCTGTATCCCTAGGTTTTTTCTTTTTTACAACTTTCTTTTTCTGATTGTCTGGAGTTAACTAGAGTGTGGAAGCAAAACCACAAAACCACAACAAAACACACAAAAAGAGAAAACCTAGGTGAGGTGTTTATTAGAGACACAGTTCTGTGTGTAATTACAGCATCCTTGTAAACTCAGCTCCTTAAAGGCAGCAAAGATTAGGAATTGTCTTTGATTTTTCAGTGTCCACTATACACATTTATGGAATGGAGTAAGTTTGGCAAAGTCTGGTGTGAGTAGCCAAACCCTACTCTCTAGCTCTGCATCTCCCAGTCTTAATGCCCATCAATCACCTCTGCGGCTGAGACCCAGTCAGGAGAGCGCGGAGTAGAGCTCTGGCGGTGAGGGATCGATTTCAGGCTCTGTCCGTTCTTCTCGGTGCGAATATGAGAAAGCCACTTCTCCAGAGCGTCGGGGTCTGTTTGCCAGGGCAGAGGGTTGGAGCTCGTTTGGTGGATCCTATGCTTCCCAGGCAGCCCCCTAGGGGAGTTTACGTGTGGCCCCAGCCCAAGTTCAAGGTGATCGGCCACGGGTAGGTATCATTAAACAATTCCTCTTCGGGGTCAGCCTTGCTACCACCGGATTATGGAAATACACACCAGTCTGTCGACTCGTTTTTTGTTTGTTTTTTTTGTGTGTGTGGGTACCTAACCGAAATAAAATACTCCAGCTGCCGCCCGCCCCCAATTTGTCTCAGTACAGGAATTACCATATAGCAGGTGTGGTTAAAAATGCTGTAAATCCTGTATTTTAGGGTCCTGTGGTTCCAAATCGCGAATCCAATTTTGCACCACCCAACTTCGCCACTGCGTTATTGTTGTTGCTAAGTGCCGTCGAGTCGATTCCGACCCATAGCGACTCTGTAAGGGTTTCCGAGGAGCAGTTGGTGAGCTTGAACCGCCATCCTTGCAGTTCAAACGGCTTTGCAGTCTGACGCATTAACCCACTGCGCAAAGTGTTCCCTCCGGGCATAGGGAACCGGTCCTATCGAGTACGTCCGTCCGGAAACGCGGCCGCGTTAGGAGGGTTCCGGAGCTTCCAAAGCTGCCCGTTGGCCTGGCAACGTTGCTTCCTCTTTCGGGGGGAGGACGCCAGGGGAGTTGGAACCAGAGCTGAAGGCCCAGAGTGAGCGAGCTCTCGGCCTTGTGGTTTTGCTATGCCCTGTTCCCCCCTCATTATACCAGGATGGCGTTAAAGGCCTCGCCGGTCTCCTCCTTTGGACCGCGGCTCCACTTAGGTGAAGGTCCACCGTCTTTTGGGTCACTCCACCTTGGGACAAGAGCCGGGGCCACGCTTTTGAGAACTGCCACAGTGCTGGTGGTAATCTGATAACGAGCCTTTGTGTAGGGTCTTTTATGATTTTACAAATAAGTTAGTTTGATGGCGGAAATATTTGTAAACCAGAAAAGTTCTACAAATGCTTGAGTTTCTTTACCTCGTTTGACACCCCCCCCCCCCCCCCCCCAGCTGCCATATGAGTTTGTTGTTGTTGTTAAATGCCATATGGGGAGGTCTTATTGTTTCCATCTGGACCCGGGATTTATTTGCCTAATAGGACTGGACCTGGGACTTGAACCCCGTTCATTTGGAGATGTTTTGCTGTTATCTCACGGGAGGATTAAGGACCCTGACATTTGGAGTCTTGGGGTGGAGGTGGGGCGGTGAGACGAATAAGAGCTATGAGAAAAACAAAAATCAAAAGTTTATCCCATAAAGCAAGAGAGCCGCTAAAGAAAGCTCCTAAATTTGGCGTTGGCCTAGTTCCTGGCATTATGTCATTTAAGAGTAACAATAGTCACTGGTGGCTGTAGTCACTATTAGCATGCTTGAGGGGCTTCTTCCACAGGAGAGGGACACAGCTTTACTGATTGGTAGTTTTAAAAGCCAGGTCTAGAGTTGCCAGATTGCCATGTAACCGATGCTCCTTTTCCTTCAGCGCTGGAGTCGATGACCCCTTCGCCGGGCCCTTGGAGACTCCATTGCTTTTTAATGGCTGCCGCGGCTGCTGGATGAGCAGCCTGCGACTGGCCCTCAGGACAGATCGTTTCCTCCCTGCATCACCTTCGCTGGATTGGCCCGGGTCCTTTTTTTTTTCTCCTTGCCCCTTGACTCTTGAAGGGAGAAGATGCCACTGCCATTTGGATTGAAACTGAAACGTACTCGGCGCTACACAGTGTCCAGCAAGAGCTGTCTGGTTGCTCGCATCCAGTTGCTTAACAACGAGTTTGTGGAATTCACACTGTCTGTGGAGAGCACCGGCCAGGAGAGCCTGGAGGCTGTGGCTCAGAGACTGGAGCTGAGAGAGGTAAGCAGCAAAGGAGGCCCCAGGCATGTGGGCCGGACTTGACTCCTTACTTTCTAGCCACTTTTGTGTCTACTGGCTGTTTGGGAGCATTCAAAACATGTTCTTGGTCTTGATTGGAGTTGAACCTGCAAGCCCCCTCCCCCATCCCACAAGGCAGGCGATAGCTACAGATGCTCTGACTTTTTGTGTGTGAAAAAAAGTTTGACCACAGTGAAATCACTAGGGTGATGTAGGGGGATGCGGACCCCCACTCAGTGACAACAAAACAACTTTTGTGTGCAGTGTTCCAGCAGCAATGGATTATTTTTCATAAAAGTATCCCTGTAGGTTATTAGAACACCAAAACATGTTTCCTAAGCCCCATATATCCTTACAACTGAGACTGTGCTAATTCATTTACTTTTGTTTGTGCTTAAAAATCAGCTTCCATTCTACAAAACAGGCCTCCACTCAACTTTTCATACGTTCATACACATTTTGTTTCATGCCACTAATTGCTGTCGTCCCCCCTCCCCCCACACACACAAGGTAACAGCACGTCCCTACATGTGTCTGATTTCCATTCCTTCTTCTTTCTTAATTAAACCTTCTGAACTTTGTCCTTGGGTAAATGCTGCCCATTCAATCTCAAATGGTTGACTATGTTTTTTTATGATTACACATATACTATAGCAAAAGAATACAAACCAGGATCATCAAAAGGAAGATACCCATGGGCAAGGCTTGTAGGACTCCCAACGTGGAGTACTTGTATCCTAAATGGGGCATGTCGCCTTGTCTTCACCAACCAGAGCCTTTCTAAAACCAAAACCTAACAAAAAGCTTTTTACTGAGAATTGAATGAAGCTTAACAAAGCACATCATCCGTTTTACATTCAACAAATCATATACTTTTTTTCATCTGCTGATTGCAAGCCCTTCAGTGTAATTCACTTATCCCACCTCCTCCCTGTGTTGTTTCCATTCTTCCTCCTTTCCCAGCCCTTCTGCACTTTGGCTAGGGGTAAATGATGCCTTTTTGATCTTGAATGGTTGACCATTCTGTGGTGTGTTTCCCTTATTAGTGGTATTGCCCCCTATGTACTTATCTCTTACTTGCCTGAAAATTGAGCCATGGGGGTAAGCTCAGTTCCAGACCTGAAGGATTTCAGCAGTCTTGCTGTGACCAGTAAGCCTGGTGTTTTTTATTTTTTTTTTAGGATTTTGAGTTTTGTTTCACATTTTCTCCCACGCTATCCAAGGCCTTTCAATGTGAGCCTTTTAGAGTAGTTGGTAATGGTAGCCAGGGACCATATAGCTCTTCTAGTCTTGGATATGGAGACTGATGCTTATGTGGTCTATTAGATCATGGGACTGTTTCTAAACATCTTCAGTTTTCATTCCTTTTCTTTCTTCTGGATGGAGAGAGACCAGTAGTTGCACCTTAGATGACTGCTCATGAGCTTTTAAGATTCCAGTTATTACCAAACTAGGCTATGGAACACTGTCTTTGTGAATTGTATTATGCTTGTGGATCATGGTCCTGACCTCCCCAGGCTCAGCAACTCAGTCCCTCACGGAGTTTGGGTATATCTATTGTGAATAGTGCTGCGATGAACATTACTGTACATATATCTACTCGTTCTGGCTCGTATTTCTTGTTGCTATATACCAAGTACATGGATTGCTGGGTCATAAGGTATATTTATTTCCAACTTTCTGAGGAAGCGCCACACTGTTTTCCAGAGTTGAAAATGGTTAAACCATTTTACAGTCCCCCCAGCAATGTAGGAGGGTTCCAGCATTTGCTATTTTCTATGTTTTTTTGAACTTCGTTTACGCAGTTAATGAGATATCTCGTTTTGATTTGCATCTGTCTAAAGGAGGTCTGAGTTGGAACCAACTTCACAGCACATAACAACAACAACAACAACAACAAAGGACCTCTGTTAACGTAGTGGTTATGAATCGGGCTGCCAATCTCAAGGTGGGCAGTTTGAAACTACCAGCTGTTCCGCGGGAGAAAGATGAGGCTTTTTGCTCCCGTAAAGATTTACAGCCTCGGAAATCTGTGCAGGGTCACTATGAGTCGGAACCGATTCCATGGTACTTAACAACAACAATGGCTAATGGAGTCCTGGTGTGGTGCTGTGGGTTAATGTGCCAGACTGCAAAGCTGTTTGAACTGCAAGGTCGGTGGTTCAAGCTCACCAGCTGCTC